AGTGTGGTGTCTACCCTCAGTGTGAGGAAGCAGCAAACAAGCGTCTGAGAAAACCCGAGTCAACCTCTTCCATCCTCTGAGAGGCCTGGGGGGCAGGTGACAGAGCTGTCACTGCTCAGAGCTGCAGAGTAAGGCACACAAGGAACCAAGGGAGCCAACCATTCTTGTTTATCTTAAATTTTTGTTCTGAATCTCTGTCTTATTCTCAGTCTCTAGCTCCCTCTTGAGGAAGTCTGACTATTGGAACCATGGGCCCTCTTTCCACCTCTTTCAGGGAAACTTCGTCTGGTCTACGGATTGGTCTGGTCTAAATATTGCCCAGAAGACCTCATCTTCTGTAAGTCACCCAAAACGTGGAGCTCCTTGGGAGAATTGAGGGAAATCTGCCATTTGGCTCATCCTAGGAGCCAAATAGACCGGGCATCTGCATCCTTTTTTTTTTTTTTAAGTTTTTATTCATTTGAGACACAGAGATAGAGAGAGCGGGCGTGAGCAGTGGGGGAGACAGAGGGAGAGGGAGAAGCAGGCTCCCCGCTGAGCCAGGAGCCCAACGTGGGGCTCGATCCCAGGACCCTGGAATCATGACCTGAGCCGAAGGCAGACGCCCAACCATCTGAGCCACCCAGGCGACCCTGGGCATCTGCATCTTGTTAGAGACTGAGTTAGGCCTCAATTTTCTCAGCTACATGTGGGTCCTGGTCTTCCTCTGCCGCCTAGACCCAGAGACCAGGACAGATAAAACTCCTTGGGAAACAGCCTAGAACATTTTGAAACCTTCTGTGAAGTTCTTTGCTTTCATTTAGGGACTCTCCAGCTATAGGAAAGTGATATGGTTTAGGCATCTATCCAGAGCATTGGGACGCAACTTTAACAGCAAGAAAAGATAAGGGTTGAGAGTCTTGTGGTGTGGACAAGACTGTGAACCGAGAGCCGTGTGAGGAGATGGTCAACCAGGGCAGCTGTGGAGACCTCAACAATGTTGCACTTGGAGGAGTGTGGGCAAAGCCAAGTCAGGACTGGACACTCACTGCTGCCTATATCCTTCTGGGGTCCAAGCCATGTCCTTGTCCCTTTATAGGCAACTCTGGAGCATGGGGAGCCAATGACTGGGGATGGCCAGAGGAGAAGCTGTTGTGTGGTGTCATGTTATGAGTCACATATGTTGGGGTACCTGAGGTCGCACATGGAGGTGCAGGGTACACAAGAATAGCTCAGTTGCTTACTTGTTGGGACCGACTGTGTGGGAACATTTTGGACAGTGACAGGAGGTGAGATGATGTTTGTGTTAGAGCTCTAAGGGCATGGAGAGATCTACAGATTAACGATTCCTCACACAGAGCAGATCTATGTTCTGCTACGGCTCTTCCGACCGCGTAGGCTGACATCTGTGGTGATGTTTCAGCATCCTGGGCACACGAGTCACACTTAAACCACACCCTGGGTGAAAAGGACCAAGACATCATGTTGATCAGAGTATTTCTAAGGAAATGATTAACCAGTGAGGGGGAAACCAGGAGTTGTCACCAGGGGACCAGGCTTAGCTGGTTCCTTCTACCAAAACAGATCTATGAACTGCACCATTCTCTCTCCCATCCACAAAGCAGACACGTCTAATGTTCTTCACTGGTGTTTTGGCTACACAGACGTGATGTATATAATGATGCCCCTGAGGCTTGAGTAGCCCGATCTATGTTGGATCTAGACCCAGATGGACAGAATCGAATTGGGGAACCCCAGACCGCAAGCATGACAAGAGTGACAAAACCTGCTTTTTAATCACTGTTTCATTCACCAAACATTCACAAGTCTCTATCATATGCCATCACTGGGTTTGACAATAGGGAATGAAAACACATATTGCATATGGGGTATCTATATAAATTTATCTATATAAAGCTTAAGTGTCCCTACTTTTTGGCCCTGAAAGTCAACAGCTAGGAAAATACCCAGTAGAAATAACCTCACTTATGGAGTACATTTTATGGATGTAGATGTTTGGTACAGTTTATTTATAAAACAATTAAAAACCAAATTAAAAACTGGAACTAGTCCAAATGTAATAGCGTAATGGTCTGTAATCATTGAGCTGTAATCAGTGAGTTGTAACAGTGCATGATCATCTTGATGCACTAGGCTTATGATTGAGTAAATTAGGCAGCTCTTAAAAATACTGGAACGATCTGGGAAAGTCTTACAATATTAAGTATAAATAATAAAAATACAAAATTACATTCATATCATGATTACAATAATGCCCCTCACCCCCCAGACATACAGTAAAAAGAAGTAAGAAAGCAAGTAAGCAAACAGAACTATCATAAGCCTAGGAAAAAATGCACTTGGGAGAAATAAACCAAAATGTTACTAGTGGCTAGCTTTGGGTAATAGCATTTTTCCTACCTTCCAGGAAAGATATTTTACTCAAATTATGCCTCAGAATTCATATATGCCACAATAAGACAGGAAGAATGTAGAGGTAAACCACCCACATCCTTATACTGACACTTGCCCTGCTGTTTACCTAGCTTTCAGAAATAAAATAAGCTTTAATCTTTTCTATTTTATATATTTTTTAAATTAGCTTTTGCTGGGGCGCCTGGCTGGCTCAGTTGGAAGAGTATGAGACTCTTGATCTCAGGATCATGAGTTCAAACTCCACGCTGGGTGTGGAGATTACTTAGAAATAAAATCTTTAAAATAAAACTAGCTTTTGCTACTTTTGGGGGGTGATCTACAGTTCACATTACAAATCAAGTTAAAAAAAAAGCCCCAATTTGAATTAAAAACACTAGTAATGTTGCTTTTTCTCTACTCCTATGAGACTCCCTTATAAGCCTGTGGAGAAGACTTTGTGAAGACCTGACACCTGAGCAGTAGCAACCATTTTGTAACCATGAAGTGACAACCTCCTTTCCCCCAAAGAAAAGCCAACAAAATGTTGGGGGAAAGGGAAACATCTTTTTTTTAAATAATTTTTAATGTTATGTTAATCACCATACATTACATCATTAGTTTTTGATGCAGTGCTCCACGATTCATTGTTTGTGCATAACACCCAGTGCTCCACGCAGAACGTCCCCTCCTTAATACCCACCACCAGGCTAACCCATCCCCCC